TAGTGTATTAAGATGCAAGGGGGAGTGAGAGATGTTGCACGTATTCATTATCCCTTATGTACAGACTCAATCAAACCGAGTCTGCAATCTCTTGTAATTTGTTGTGATTAATGCTCCCGAGGGATCATTTCTTTTCCAGATTTTTATACTTCACAACAGCAGGTGTCAAGTGCTGTTTGGCAGCTGTAAATAGTTGGGGCAACTTTTTATCCCTAATGTACATGTACAGACTCGATCAAACCGAGTACGGGGCATACTTCACTTCAGTGTTGTTATATTTTTCTGGTCCTTCGGGATCATTGTCATTTGATGCCAGCACTATTAAATGTTGAGAATTGAGTACCGCTCAAGCCGGAACTAGGGGTCGTGAGGGATGTTGCACGTATTCATTATCCCTCATGTACAGACCCAATCAAACCGAGTCTGCAATTCTCTTGTAATTGTGTTGTGATTAATGCTTCCGAGGGATCATATCGTTTCCATTTTTTATACTTCACAACAGCAGGTGTCAAGTGCTGTGTGGCAGCTGTAAAAAGTTGACCCGTACTTCACTTCAGTGTTGTTATATTTTTCTGGTCCTTCGGGATCATTGATGCCAGTACTAGTAAGTGTTAAGAACTGAGTATCACTCAAGCCGGTGCTAGGGGGCGTGAGGGGTGTTGCACGTATTCATTTCCCTCTTGTACAGACTCAATCAAACCGAGTCTGTAATTCTCTTGTTACAATGTTGTGATTAATGCTTCCGAGTTTTCACTTCGTTTCCAGATTTTTCTACCATCTACGTCATCTAATATAAGCCCCATCCCCACCCTTTAATCAAAAGGGTATTTAGCTTTTCTTGATGTTGATGTTCTCGTGAAGCACAATTCACAGTTAGTATAATCAAATTAGGAATGTATATTCTTCTTTAAATGTCCATCAACCGAATTCCCTTTCTGTTTGAATGAAGTTTAAAACTCAAAGGCGTCACATTGTATTTTCATTCATAAGCTCTTTTATTTTCACCTTTTATTGCAAATTTACAACAGAAATAATATGTTTTCTATAGTCTCTTTACAACTATTATTTCTATTTTTATTTTATTAGCACAACGTTACTGTCAGTACGTTTGACAATTTAAACCCTGTTTTTTTTCATTTATGACTTTAAACAAATAGAGTTTCACAAATCACAATGATAATTAAAGTGTATAAAGCTATGTTTAGATCTTCTGCAAAAGTTGTTGTTTGAATGAAAAAGAAAAACTTCCAAAATGCTTGTATGAAATGCTTATATGAAATAGATATGTTAGTAAATATCTTTAAAAGCAAATGACGTATTATGAAATCACTGCTAAATTGATTTATCTTTACATAGTTTGTTCTGCAATATTTTATTCTGTTTACGTGTAGTATTCAGGAGTATCCAATTACAGGGACATCCTATGTTAAAATCTCTTTCAAGCATCGACCATAAGATTGTGTTATAAATATATTTCATGAAATATAGCTTTATACCCTTTAAGGGGTAAACTGAAAATGGTGAAAATATGGTTTGAATAATAACTAATAACTTTTAAAATAAGTGAAAACTCAAAGTATGTTTGTATTTATTTTGTAAAGATTTAATCTATGAAAGTTCATTTCAACCATGGGCTTTTTTGTATAAAACCAATGACACTAATCCAGAGATTATGAAATGACATGCACTTTCAAAATAAAGCTATCTTGTTGACGACCTACATTTCCTTTTTTAGCAAATGACTTACAGATTTGCTAAAGTTATTACTGAATGTGCTATGTAATAATATATATAATCTAGCATCGCCTTTCACATGTTCCCCTACAGATCAATGACAACAGTGCAAACGACTTTTATCTAAAGGCTCGATTTGATTTCATTAAGATTGAAAACTGATGAAGTGGTTTATTTTATGCTTTCCATGCAGTGTTTTATTGTAATATATCAGATGATTATATAGAGGATATTTGTTTAGTTCAGTGTAAGATCGGAATATATTTCACCGAGTGAGCACCAAAAGGTATATTTCACGAGTGGCGCATCCACGAGTGAAATATGAACTTTTGGTGTTCACAAGGTGAAATATATTTAAATCTTACACTAAACTAAACAAATTTTCTTTTTATTATATGCAAAGAAACGTTTTAAAAAGACATTTAACCTAATACTGAATGTGTCGCGAGGATCGCGAAATTATATGACATGGTTTCCAAAAATGTATAATTTTCTCCGGTGACCTCATAATTTTGTTTTACTTAATGTTATGCTCCGGCATAACCTTAACACGTTATTGTAGATATGTTCATCGGCGGAGTACTTTGTTATTCCGGCGGAGTATTTTGTTATAAATCATGTTTCTTGACTTTCTCGTGATATTTGTGTTTTGGCGGGAATTATTTCATTGGTATATAAGCCAGATTTCAGCGTCACGAGACTAGAGCTTCTAAGGATTTCAAGTTATTATGGATAGTATTTAGGTTCAAAATTCATGTATATTGTGTTCTTTCGGCTTTAAAATTATATAGTGTTACTAACACTGTTAGCGAAATAAAAGTTTGGAAATTATACTTCAGTGTTTGTGCTCTCTATTAAAGTTTTTTTTGTGACTGGAGTAAAAAGAGTGTAATTAAAGTATACTCCACCACAGAATGAAAAGCGCGCCAAATAATAATACAACGTGACGTCATTTACGACGTCACGTCATTAAGTTGGTACCCAGTACTGTGCACGCTGGTATTTCACTGAAACAACGTAAGGGGCTTAAATTCAAAACAGTGAAATTATCAAAGTGGTAATTTCACTGTTTCAAACAGTGAAATTACCAGTTTTATATCACTGATATATTTCTATAAACCACCGAAAAGCATGTAATAAATTCTGATAAACCACTATTGAAATTTATAAAATATAATTTTCATTGTAGCCGGACTTTATCTGAATGTGGATGAAAAAAAAATCATTACTAAATGGAATAACAGGCAGAAATAAATGCTGTCATGCGTAAATTTTGCTTCTTTAAAAAAGAAAGTCGATGTCACCATACATCATGTTAAAAATATAACAAATTTAGAGAAAGTTTAACAAAACTATTATATTTCAAAATTGATGATGTGACGTCATGATGTGATGACGTCACAAAGGAGAATGCATGACGTTACGCGGCAAAATCAGTAAAAAATACTTAAAATCACTGAAAAAGCATGAAATAAAGAAAAATTTATTTGTTTTACATATAAGATTTAAATATATTTCATTCGTAAACACCAGCTATTATATTTTCAAAACAATTAAAATATTGCATCTGGTGTTCACTTAGTGAAATTATATTTCATTATTTCATGCTTTCCAGTGTTTTATTGTAATATATCAGATGATTATATTCTGATAAACCACTAGTGAAATTTATAAAATATAATTTTCACTGTAGCCGGACTATATTTGAATGTGGATGAAAAGAAAATCATAACTAAATGGAATAACAGGCAGAAATAAATGCCGTCATACGTAAATTTTGCTTCTTTAGGAAAAGAAAGCCGATTTCACCATACATCATGTTTAAAATGTAACAAAATTAGAGAAATCTAACAGAACTATATTTCAAAATTGATGATGTGACGTCATGATGTGATGACGTCACAAAGGAGAATGCGCGACGTTACGCGGCAAAATCAGTAAAAAATACTTAAAATCACTTAAAAAGCATGAAATAAAAAGAAAATTTATTTGTTTTACATATAAGATTGAAATATATTTCATTCGTGAACACCAGCTATTATATTTTCACTCGTGGCTACGCCACTCGTGAAAATATTGCATCTGGTGTTCACTCAGTGAAATTATATTTCAATCTTACATGCAAAACAAACAAATATCCTCTATATCTTACATGCAAAACAAACAAATATCCTCTATACAATGTATTAAGTTGCCCAGTTAAATAGAGGATATTTGTTTGTTTCAGTGTAAGATCGAAAAATATTTCACCGAGTGAACACCAGATGCAATATTTTCCACGAGTGGCGTAGCCACGAGTGAAAATATAATAGCTGGGGTTCACGAGTGAAATATTATTTGATCTTACATGTAAAACAAACAAATTTTCTGTTTATTTCATGATTTTTTAACGATTTTTACACCATTTTACTGATTTTTGCCGCGTAACGTCATGCTCTTATCTTCATGACGTCATCAAATAATGACGTCACAATGTTGAAGCAAAATATAATTCCATGATTGTTTTTAGATTTTAGATGTTTTTCAGCACAACGTTCGTAAATATTTACGAACTACAGTTATCACGTACATTTTTTATTATGATTGACTACATTTCCGCTGAAAAAAACATTCATTAATGATAAATATTTTATTTTTACGCCAAATATAGTTCGGCTACTGTGAAATTATATTTGGTAATCATTACTGTGAAATTATCAGAATATAATTAACCGTTATAATTCAGTAATCTACTGCAAAACATGTAATAACTGTTTCTCATGGCCAGTCACAATCCAATACAATGTGTATTTTCATCCAATTGTTTTGAATGTTGTTTTTTTTTTTGCATTACTCTTAACTAAAAGACCCCCTATTTTTACAGCGGCAAAGAATGAATATTTAAAGTAGAGCAGATTATTTTCTTAAGCTTTGCATGGTAAAATGGATTTTACTGAAGAAAAAAATGATAAAAACAACGAAGTTCGCAATTCTACTTTTTAACCTTTTTGATTAAAGTGCTCTTTTAAAAACTTTTCTTTGGGAATTAACTAAAAACTGCCAACATTTGCTAAAATTCTATGAGAAAGATTATATTTTGAAAGGTTTAACTTTTAAAAGTCCTATCAATAATCATTGTATGTGCTTTTTATTTTATAAAGTTTTATCATTTTCATATCAATCTTTAACTATTTTAGTTGTTATTCTATTAATAAAGTTGTTGTATTATGTTTATGATATGTTATGTGTATATAAACAAAAAATCTTTTTCATTAAAGATGTTTATTATAGATAATGTTCAGATACCAATGAATAAGCCTATAATTACATGATGAATGATGAAATTCAATATAATGAGTGTATTTGTTGTAGAAATTCTTGCGACAGGCTCACTGGTCGTGGTAGTAGTATCAGTTCCCGTTGCTGAAGGAGAGTCTGTCGCTTTGGTACAAGTAGCGGCTGTCGGTAAAGGTTTACTGGTCGAAGTAGCGGCTGTCGTTAAAGCTGTATTAGTTGCGGCACAGGTTTGGCAACATTTCGAAAAATCATTGGTGCAATGACTCTGAGTACAGTCAGTATATTCATCACCCCAAGGACAACCTGAAATAAACAATAGTCAACGAAACATAATGCCTTGATTTACCTATAATATCTTTTTAAACTCTATAGCAATTTTCAATAACACTACTTTACATTTCACTTGTAAAGTTTATTTACAACTTGTCGCAATCTCGGCATTAGGATGTGATAAATAGAGGATATTTGCTGAGTGTCAGTTCAATACTGAATTTATCGAACGAGTTGAATAATTACGAGTTGAATCCGAGCATATATTTTGATGTGGCGATTGTAAGATCTGCTTACATGTATTTGCGTTTAGATTATGTATTGTAATCTTTTTTTCTTCTTTTTTTTGTGAACAAGGATCTTTGCTCAAGTCCGAAAAATATAGATAAAATTAACATTTTGTTCTGTAACGTTTATTTATATTGAATGATTATACGAGAATATTTACATTACCTTAAATGAGAGGACACAAATATGGATATATGTAATTATTTCTAATGGTAAACATGTGCAAATATTTTGACGTGACGTCATTTTCATTACATAATCATAGAGTTATGACGCGCACTAAAACGTTAGCGTTTTACTAATATAGGCCTGTCAATGAAAACTGATTCTTTTTCACTCCGAACGATCTTTATTTGTGGTATAAGATAAATAGAATATTAAATTCGTGTAAGTTCATTACTTAATCTATTGAACTCGTTGAATAAAATAATGTGAATAAAATAATATAATGCTTGCAAGAGGCTAGTTTAATATATAGAGGATATTCAAGTTTTTTTCTGTAGAAACAGGAGTGTTATAAAAATTTCCTCAGTTGCGGTAGCCACGAGTGAAATATGATAATTATTTTTGTGAACACGAGAATTTCATATGTCACTCGAGGCTGCGCCAATCGTGAAATATACCTTTTGGTTCTTATTCGGTGACATATATTCAGATCTAACATTGAACTAAACAAAGGTTCTTTTTATTATATGCAAAGAAACGTTTAAAAAGACATTTTAACCTAATGGTAAATGGAAAGTGTGCCAAATAATAATACAACGTGACGTCATTTACGACATCACGTCAATAAATTTGTTTTCCTCCCACAAGATGAAAATAAATCCTTTATTTATAGGGAAAACTTGAATTATCTGTTTATAATATACATTTTGCTCTTGTGACATTACAGTTTGAAAGACTTTCCCTTGAATTTTGTAATCTGACAGAATTTAGGGAAAAAAAACGTGTTTTAGCAAGACACAAGTGAAAAAAACGGAACATTACTTAACAGTGAAACATTTTTTTTTTCACAGTGAAAGTATGGAAAATGAAAGACACATTTTATTTCATCAATATTTCTCAATATTCTCAAGTATATAATAAAATTTTATACAACTCGTTCAATAAATTCAGTATTAAACTTACACTTATTCAATTTGATGTTTACAATTCGAAGAATGCTGTCACAACACGTCACCTTAGTCAAGCAGGAGGTTAACTTTGTTTTAACATCAATTGGAGTTAATCAGTTTCAGCACTAATGTGATGAAACGTTGTGTCAAGTGTTTGAAACTGTTTTTAGAGATTGTGTAATCCTCATTTTTAGAAAGTTTCAAACACTATTGTTAATTGAGGAACTTTGCAATAACTTTTATAAAGACAAGTTTCCTACTAATTACAGACATCTTAACATAGCTTAAAACAGTACGTTTTAGAAAGGTTAAACGTAAATGCAAAATAGGAATGAAGTAAAATTTGTTTTACCTGGAATATCTAATCGTATATCTTGGCATGTTTTACAGCAAACTTCAAAGTTATTTCGACACAGTTGTAATGACATTCCTACACAAGTTGACTTTTTATCTCCATAGTCACAATCTAAAAAGAAATAGAGGATATTGAATTAGTGTAGTTTAATACTAAATGTATTGAACGAGTTGAATAAAATCATATTATGCGAGCCTCTGGCGAGCAAAATATTATTTTATTCAACGAGTTCAATAAATTTAGTATTGAATCTACACGAATATAATATTCTATTTATCACATATATAAAATAAGATCAGTAAATTGTTAAAATGAGTAATTTTTTAATCACTCGCCTATAGTGCAACGCTAACATAAGCGCGCCTTTAATAACGCTATTTTTCTATATAACACAAATGACGTCACGTCAAAGTGTTATTACACTAAGTGTAATATCGTTTTTATTAAATAGAGGATATTGAATGAGTGTAGGTTTAATACTAAATTTATTGAAAGAGTTGAACTAAATCATATTATCACACACCCGTGCCGATTTTGCGACTCCGTAAATATGGTATTGCACGGCCGTGCATATATTTTGACGTGACGTCATTAGCGTTATACAAACATAGTGTAAAGACGCGCTAAATGTTATCGTTATACTTAAGGCGCGTCAATGAAAAATGACTCTTATTTCACTTTAAACGGTCTTTATTTTGGGTGTGTGATAAATAGAATATTAAATTCGTATAAGTTCATTACTGAATTTATTGCACTCGTTGAATAAAATAATATTATGCTCGCCAGAGGCTCGCATAATATAATTTTATTCAACTCGTGCAATAAATTCTGTATTGAACTTACACTCATTCAATATCCTCTATTTATGCAAGCCTAATATTGTTTTATTCAACGAGTTCAATAAATATAGTATTGAATCAACACGAATATAATATTCTATTTATCACATATATAAAATGAGAACAGTAAACTGTTAACAAGAGTCATTTTTCTTTGACGCGCCTATAGTGTAACGCTAACACTAGCGCGCTTTAACGCTATGTTTATAGTGCATATGACGTGACGTCAAAGTGTTGTTATACTAGTGTAATATCGTCTATTCTAACACGACCCGCATTTTTCCCTATTGAACATAGAAGAACCGAAAGTGTGTATTATTATGCAACAAAATCACTGTTGACGTTCTATATTTAAACTTGTGACGTAATCATTATATACATCAATCTCCACACAGTGATCTCCCCTTAATTCTTCGGCGTAGATCTCTGCCACCAAGGTCCCGATATATCAGAATTTCTGATATACTATATTTTTTCAAAAATTGTTTTATCTACTGCTTTTATCTATCAGATAAGGTTTCTCTCATTTATTTAACAATGTTTATGAATAAATAAATAAATGATATGAATATATAGAAATAATCTTAAAAATTATGAGATTATTTTCTACCGAGACGATATTTTGATGTTTTATATTTTTTAGCTTTTGAATTTATTTTTCGTTATTTTGTATCCTTTTGATAATTTTTTGATAAACTATATCGAACGTAGGCACTAAAAGTTAAAAATAAAACAGAGAGAGAAAAATAACGTTAGATTTTCTTTGTAACGGTCGATATTTACATTTGAATTTCGACGTTACGTCATGTGATTTTCATCATCATGTGACGTCTTTGAAGGCAGTGATTACAATCTTGCCAAGGGAGGTAATCACTGTGAGGAGTTTGTATATACATGTGACGTAACTATTAAAAATGCGACGCGCTGACAATAAGTACGGAAACAAATCTGGTGCAATTTAGCTTATTATAAGGTACGACAAGATTTATTGTTAATGTCGTGTTAGAATCGAAATAATATATCCAAATCGGTGATTTTATCGGTGACGTTCGGATGCGCATCATTATATTACTTGGGCTACGCCCTCGTGATATACTTCCTCGCATCCTAACTCCAAACAGTGATGTTATTGAGCGATAAAACCACTGTTTGGGATATATTATTTCTCAAGTGTAATATCGTTTTTATTAAATGGCTTTATTACACTTTTTTTGCGCCGCGGTTTATGTGATAAATGGCTTTATTACACTCCTGCGCCACGGTTTATGTGATAAAGAAATTTATCACATGCTTTTCGGTGGTTTATAAAAATATATCAGTGAAATTTATAAAGGATATTTGTCTAGTTCAGTGTAAGATCGGAATTTATTTCATGCTTTCCAGTGTTTTACTGTAATAATACAGATGATTATATTCTGATAAACCACTAGTGAAATTTGTAAAATATAATTTCACTGTAGCCGGATTATATCTGGAATATCATAACTAAATGGAATAACAGGCAAAAATAAATGCCGTCATTTATTTAATTTTACCCATGAAATATGGTGCTATATCAGTCAAATATATTTCATATTTTTTAAAAATAAATATGAAATATAAATATGAAAGTGGGCGGAGTCAAAACTCATATTTATTTTAAGGGACTTCTTTCGCCGTTTTGTTTGAAAAATCTGATAAATACAAAACAACTTTTTCTTGAATATTGTTTTGAAAACTATGTAGCATGATAGAAAATGGTCTAATTAAGAAAATTAATCCGAACACCAATATCTTTAATTCAGTAATTAACGCTGTACAGACGTTTAAAGAGTTGTTTACATGACGTCACAATGTAGCGCCAAACAGCGCGTGCTTACGCATAAATTACTGCGCGCTGTACAATTGCAGTTGGTAGCAAGCAAGGGGATTCGTTACCATTATCTTTGATAATGAAATTAAATAAAAAGGTTATTTTTTTCGTTTTTTTGTGAAATATGGTATATATTTTCACTCAACATGATAAAATGCCACATATTTTCACTCGCCGTACCGGCTCGTGAAAATATGTGGCATTTTATCATGTTTCGTGAAAATATATTCCATATTTCACGCAAACGAAAAAATATCCTCTTATTATTTATAAAAATATAAAATTTTATTATATACTTGAGAATATTGAGAATTATTTAATTTTACCCATGAAATATGGTGCTATATCAGTCAAATATATTTCATATTTTTTAAAAATAAATATGAAATATAAATATGAAATTGGGCGGAGTCAAAACTCATATTTATTTTAAGGGACTTCTTTCGCCATTTTGTTCGAAAAATCTGATAAATACAAAACAACTTTTTGTTGAATTTCGTTTTGAAAACTATCTAGAATGATAGAAAAATGGTCTTACTGAGAAAATTAATCCAAACACCAATATCTTTAATTCAGTCATTAACACTGTACAGACGTTTTTGTAGAGTTGTTTACGTGACGTCACAATTTAGCGCTAAATATCGCGTGCAAAACAAGACAATAATTATATCACTGCGCGCTGTACAATTGCAGTTGTGTAGCAAGCAAGGGGGTGCGTAACCATTTTTAACTTTGATAATGAAATTAAATAAAAAGGTTATTTTTTCGTTTTCATAAAATATGGTATATATTTACACTTAACATGATAAAATGCCACATATTTTCACTCGCCAATTTTGACCCCAGGGCTTTTATTTGAACAAACTTGGTAGACACCCATTAGAACATGTTTCATGCTAAATATCTTTGCTCTAGCTTTTTGAGTTCTTTTAAAGAAGATTGTTAAGTTTTTACTATATGCATATAGAGAAAATCAATGACCCCCTGGGGCGGGGCCAATTTTGACCCCAGGGCTTTTATTTGAACAAACTTGTTAGACACTCATTAGAAGATGTTTCATGCTAAATATCTTAGCTCTAGCTCTTTTGTTTCTTTAAAAGAAGATTTTTTAAGTTTTTACTATATGTATATAAGGAAAATCAATGACCCCCTGGGGCGGGGCAAATTTTGAACCCAGGGATTTTATTTGAACAAACTTGGTAGACACTTACTAGACGATGTTTCATGCCAAATATCTAAGCTCTAGGTCTTTGTTTTTTTTAAAGGAACATATTTAAAGTTTTTTCTTTAGGTTGCCATGGCAACCAGAGTTCTGCATGGAATTAAATTCTTTGAACAACTTTTAAAGGTGACCACCAAAGGAACATTCCTGTGAAGTTTGGATGAAATTGGCTTAGTGGTTTATGAGGAGATGTCATTTAAAGTAAAAGTTTACGGACGGACGACGGACGAAAAGCGACCACAAAAGCTCACCCTGTCACTTTGTGACAGGTGAGCTAAAAAAAGAAATACAACAACAAAGTTCTTTCTTGTCTAATCTTCTACTGTTCTGTACAGAGATATTTACTGTTTGTGTGTTCAAAGCAGTAGAATCTAGAAGCAAGTTTGAATTTCATTTTTTTCGGAATGAATTTGTCGTATTAATTCTTCAAATTTCAATAGTAACAAAAATGTGTTTGTAGTAAATACGCTTAAGCTCTCATAATAAAAATAAAGCAATTCGTGCTGACAACCTACTTTCACTTTTACAGTTAACTGTTTGATGACGTAAAATATGACGTCATTGTTTCAGTGTGTGCACGTGCACATGTTCTGCGGGCTGATAACTAGTTCTCGGCCCCGGGCCGCAAACTCATAATAGGTCACCTGACACTCATAATCAGTTGAAATCATAGGCAATTTTGTTACTATATATAGTAACAAGTGTATTAATATTTTATTCAACGAGTGCAATAAATTCAGTAATGAACTTACACGAATTTAATATTCTATTTATCAAATACCCAAAATCAAGACCGTTTAAAGTGAAATAAGAGTCATTTTTTCATTGACGCATCTATAGTATAACACTTACATTTAGCGCGTCTTTACACTATGTTTGTATAACGCTAATGACGTCACGTCAAAATATATGCACAGCCGTGCAATACCATATTTACGGAGTCGCAAAATCGGCACGGGTGTGTAATAAATTTCAATCTTACATGCAATGTATTTATTTTAAGGTACTTCTTCTGCCATTTTGTTAAAAAATCTGATAAATGAATAACAATGGCGAAAGAAGTCCCTTAAAATAAATAGGAGTTTTGACTCCGCCCACTTTATACTAAATACATATTTGTATTTCATATTTTTTTTTTTTTTAAAAATATGAAATATATATGACTGATATAGCACCATATTTCATGGGTTAAATTAAA